CCCCGGTGCGGAGTTCGCAAACGGAAGCAAAATTTTGCGAACGGTGCTGTTCGTGAACCAAATTGTTCATGAACAGAAGCATTTGTGACCCGAGGTACCACTGTATAGCCAAATCATATTAAATTCTTGGAAGGATGAGCTATCTAGAACTTGTGGAAGCTAGCAAAATGAAAATGACCGGAGTGGAAGGATTGGATTCACATTTCTTTTTAATGTTCCCTATGCCAGTGAGGGGTGGGGAAGAAAAATAATGAAGTGAGGAAGACAGTTCTTTTTGTGCATTCTTCTGTTGCTCAGTTTTATTCATGGAAATAAAGACAATTGGAAGGACAACTTTCAGGAATAATTGCCTGCTGGAAAGTGGTAGCTGCTAAATTAACACTTTCACAAATTAAATTGGTTGAAAGTTAATTTATTTATGTGACTAAAATATATCAAACCTAGAGAAATATTGTCATAATTAACATTTCTGAAACATTAGCGTGACAGGCTAGAACTTATTTTCCTTCTTCCTCAGTTTGGTTAATTGTAGCTTAGGTACTGAAATAAGTCAGTAAGTACTTCTTCAAACAGATGCAAAAAAATGTAGAATTGGCAAGATATTCTGTTTGTCAAATTAATTATTAGTTCATTTTGACTTCTCTGGAGAAACACACTTGCTCTTCTAAATACTCAAAATGAATTATTCAGGAGATAGTTTTAGCTAGTTCTTGCAAAACTGAAGTATGAGTTATGGTGTTTATTTTTGCTTTGCCTCTAAAATTGTGTGTGTGTGGATGGATGGATAGCTAGATATCAGTTTTTCTGTCTTTCTTACCTGCATACATGTATGTGTATATTTGTGTGTATCTGTGTGTTTAAAAAACAGTAATTATTTTCACTGCTCCTGTTAAGATTGTTTTAATTCAAATATGCATTTGGAAATCTTAGAAATCTACCTGGTGTTCGTTTATGAAGCTTTCCTTGCATTGGTGCAAAGTGTAAATCATTTCACTGTAATTTAGTTCTAAATCTATAAAAACACATTTAAAATTAATTTAATCTACAGCTTGTCTTTCATAGATTTTTTTGGTGACTACAAAGATGGCATCTCTGTGATATAGGCAGACCATTGTATGAGTGAATGCCATTTTTAGAGACTTACAGCATGTATTTAGAAATAGATATGTTAAAAATGCAAATTGTGGGAGAAAATTGCCAAAATCTCTTTATTTCCAAATTCTACACTTTCCATATCTAAAATGTAACTAAAATGTTATGTGTACATGACCTTCCTGGATATTATGGATGCTTACAAAGTTAAACACTGAGAAATATGAATCAGATAAACAGACTTCTGTAAGTCTATGCACTGCAGGGAGCCCCAGTTGCATTATAGTAACCTTGCATGTGTTCCCCATATGCCTAAATAGTGTAGAGATATGTGTTTCCCTTCCCTATTTAAATGTTTAATGCAGTTAACAAAACTGTGGAAATGTTGCAACATGAATGATGTAGCTACCCAACACCATTGCTTGAAACAGAGTCTTACCACTTTTGTTTAAAAAGTTGCAAGTTGTTGGTTATATATTTTGCAAATATTTCAATTGGGAAAGTTCTCTTTGCATTAATTTGTTTGGAAATTATATTTTCATGTAATAACATTAAGTGCATGCAAATCTGCCATTAGCCTAAATTCAGATGCTATTCAACAGCATAACAGCAATTATTGGAAAGAAATAATTTAGATTACTGAAATTAATCTTCTGCGAACTGAAATAACTTTTCTATCCTTATAATAAAATGGCGCAGATGCTTTAAAAAAAAAACCCTTATATTCTCTTTCTCTCTCTCTCATCTTGCAGGTGCTAGCAACAGGCTTAAGTGGTCTCTATTCATCTTTGCCTACAAAACTGGAAGATAAAGGAGAAGAATGGCATTGTCTCCTAAAAGATGATTGTTTTCTTTCTCCAGCTCTTGTACAATTTATGAATTCTTTTGAATTCTGCAATGCAGTGATTCAGGTACTAGACCAGAAAAAAGTCCTGCAAATGGAAGTAGTGTTTTAAAATAGTAGTATACAATTTTGTGGTTATTTAGAAAAAGAATTTGGATTATTTACTTCATATGTGTGATATTCCAAGTTTTTTAAATGTACAAATATCAAGTTGCATTTTGTTAATACATAAGTGAAATACAAAGTTATTGTTATAAAAATTAACAATTTATATGTATTTGTAGAGCAACTTTGTTGTTGTTGTTGTTTAGTCGTTAAGTCGTGTCCGACTCTTCGTGACCCCATGAACCATATTGCGAGCTATGGTTTTTCCAGTAGTAATGTATGGCTGTGAGAGCTGGACCATAAAAAAGGCCGAGCGCCGAAGAATTGATGCCTTTGAACTGTGGTGCTGGAGAAGACTCTTGAGAGTCCCCTGGACTGCTAGGAGGTCAAACCAGTCAATCTTAAAGGAGCTATGGTTTTTCCAGTAGTAATGTATGGCTGTGAGAGCTGGACCATAAAAAAGGCCGAGCGCCGAAGAATTGATGCCTTTGAACTGTGGTGCTGGAGAAGACTCTTGAGAGTCCCCTGGACTGCTAGGAGGTCAAACCAGTCAATCTTAAAGGAGCTATGGTTTTTCCAGTAGTAATGTATGGCTGTGAGAGCTGGACCATAAAAAAGGCCGAGCGCCGAAGAATTGATGCCTTTGAACTGTGGTGCTGGAGAAGACTCTTGAGAGTCCCCTGGACTGCTAGGAGGTCAAACCAGTCAATCTTAAAGGGGTCCAGATGCCATGATCTTAGTTTTTTTAATGTTGAGTTTCAAGCCAGCTTTTGCACTCTCCTCTTTCACCCTCATCAAGAGGCTCTTTAGTTCTTCTTCACTTTCTGCCATTAGGGTGGTATCGTCCGCATATCTGAGGTTGTTGATGATTCTCCCTGCAATCTTAATTCCGGCTTGCAAAACCAAATACAGGTAGTCCGTGCTTAACCATTTGTTTAATGACATTGGAAGTTATGACAGCCTCTGAAAAAGTGCTTACGACCTGAACTTGCACTTACAACTGTCGCAAACCATTGCATCACTCCCTGCGGTCACGTGATCGCGATTTGCAACCTTTTTAACAATGGTCATTAAGCGAATCACGTGGTCGTTAAGAAAATTCCAGCAAAAAAGTCCATGGGGAAACTGGATTTGCTTAACAAATGTGATTCGCTTAACTACATCGTAAAAATGGTTGTAAAATCAGGTCCAGTCACGTGACTTGCTTAATGACCGCCCCACCAGTTTTCTGGTCCATATTGTTGTTAAGCAAGGACTACCTGTATTTAGTTTTGGGGGGGGAAATACTGTTCTTCTTTGTGTTAGTTATTTTATGATATACTTTAGTTTTTACTTTATGATAACAGAATATACCTGAATAACTGAATAATTTGTAATTGTGTTTGAATTATTTGGTATTTAAAAGTTGTCTGGTTTTCTCATATACTTCATTCTAGATACATTTTTAATTAGGGTTTATTTCCATTTTGATTCTTGTTTTTCACCAGTCTAATGATAACATTAGATTTTATACCACTTTCGTGTTGTATTCAGGATTTTATTGCATCTACATCTTTGATTTGTGCAAGCTTTATAGTCACAGTATCTCAGTAGTGTTTCCAGAATGCAAGACTTTGTATGAGGGTTTTTTGCCAAAGGGATTTCTGCCAGTTACATTTTTAAAAAGGTTGTGTATTTATTTTGTATACATATACATTCTAAATATAGAATAATTTCTCAATAAGAGGACAATTTTTCTGAGCCATAGGCTATACTTTCCTTTGAGTGGTGCACTCTTAAAAAATAGCAGGTAGGTCTGTTTATTTACATTTCAGTTATAAAACATGTTGTTATTACTTTCAAGTCATGTATTAAATGCTGTTTGCTGTTTTTAACTAAAAAATATAATTTGGTAAAAAGCATTAGGGGTCTCTGGAGAGCATATCCAAGATTTTATGTCAGCATGTTGACACTACAGCTTAAAGTTGTATACTTTATTTATTTATCGCTTTCCTAGTCCAGCACTCTATTATGTGTGAAATGGCCAAAGGAGAATTAATAAAATGTTACTCTCCAGTTCATGGTTGCTGGTAATTTGTATTTGAAGGCATACTGCAGTAGATAATACAAGTAAGCTAGTGACATATTGACTAGCAGTGATTAATAACTTTGTTTCATGAAGCATAGAGCACTAGAGGCCTTCATAGCTTGCCACCAAATTGTAGCTTTTGATGGCACAGTAGAAGAAAGTATTAAATGACTAACAATTAATTTAATTAACTATAAACTTAATATGTATGAAATTCATTTCTTATCTGAGCTCCAATCACTTTTGGAGAAATCTGTTCCTTGGTTCAGAAAAGTTCCACATTCTTGTTTTAAACATCCAAGTCAGTGGCTGTCCTTGATTCTTGTGGCAGTAAATTCCATTATTTATCTTTGGTGAGAAAAAAAAAAATAATCTTTTACTGTTAGAATTCATTAGATGTTCTGGGTTCTAATATTATGGAAGAAAGTATTTTCCTATTTATATAATCTATAGCATACATAGTTTTATACATCTCTGTTCCACCTTATCTACTTTTTTCATAGCTAAAATGTCTTGATTTTTTAAAACAATTCTGATATTCAAGACTGATGATTTACTTTTTAACTTTTGTGATGAATTCAGAAATACAGAAAAATATAATATTTGTTACATAGCTTATACAGTTCATTATCAGTAAAATACTAAATTCAGTATTAGGAGGTAATGAAATGATTTATAGTGATTTTCTTAACATTAACCAATTAAGATTTATTATTTTAAGGTAGCTTTGTGTGTATGTTTCTCAGTATTGGACTTCTGTCTTCATAGTGACAGAGTGTTTTAATCAACAGTGTTTGCAAAAATGTTTGAAGTAATTTTGATCAGAATTTTAAAAAATAGTTTTTAGATACGTATGAAGAGTGCTAAACAAGGAGCCTGTAGTAGAGTAAGTGGAATTAAAGATAAAAGTCATGAAATGATTTGGAATAAACTGAAGTGAGGCATGTTGGGAGGAATATTTTAGAGATCTGTATGGGAATAATAGTGACAACTTGAAGACTAGAATTGAAAGACCTGCTAAAAACATTAATATCCAAGAAAAAAAAAATAAAAGGAAGTAATAAATACTGTAAAAATTTTGAAAAATATTAACTTTGCAAGTGCAGATGGTATAACGAGAGAAATTTTAAAATATGGATATGGTTTACTCATCAAGTTCAGCTTGTTTAAAGTGTATGTTAAAATTGCACTGTGGGAAAGTAAATGTTTATTGATTATTTCAGATATTCTCTTCTCTCTGTTTCTCTTTCCATTTTTAGGTGGCACATTCCTTGATTCGCAACCAGCTTGTAAACTACATTTATAATGGATTTTTGGTTCCAGTTATGGCCCCAGCTCTCCATAAGGTTAGTGAAAAATAATCAGTTATAGTCAGTGAATCATAAGGCTAGATTAATATAAGTCACCATTTGGGCTTTGAATTTGGTAGTGGGTACAAAAGCAGACTTTTCTTCAATATAACAAAGTATTCTTTTAACATTTGATTAATGAGAGGTCAAATAGATAATATTCCAAATTATAAGCTGACGTGTTTTTTTAATGTAGATGCTTTTAATATATTTTTGGCAACAATGAAGATATACTGCATTATAGTAGGAATGTGTAATTTTATTGTGCAAGAGTCTGGAGTAATATAAACTAGATCAGAGGTATGAAAAAAACAACCTAATATTAAAAGCTTGTACATACATGGATTCATAATTCTATTTCTGGTCCTGATAATTTCCCTGCTGTGTTGAACCAAGTACAAATGTTTGTTTCACTTCAAAAGAGTTTTATGAAACAGTCATTCAGTATTAGTTAAATGTCTCCATTTGTATGCAGAACTTTGCATTAACTCTTACTTTTGGGTATTCTTTCATTCATTAGTAGGCTAGTACTACCTTTCTTTGTTCCTAATAAAGCTAACTTTTTTTAAAGCTGTATGAGTAATCCCCCCCTTCATCTCTTTTTGAGTTTTGTAAACCTTTTGTAAACTTCTTGTAAAACTTTAAATAAATGAAAAATCTCTTTAATAAGTAGAATAATTAGATTTAAAAGTGTATGGATCTCCTTGACTTTAACCTGATTTGGCAAAGTTCATTATTAATTATCTTCTTTTTTCTCAACATGTTTTGAATCTGTTGCCTAAATAAACATGTTGTTCCCCAGGTGCAACTCATAAAATTAACAAGCTAGGCAGGAAACTTAAACTAGAACCTGACATATACCTCAAAAGTAAATTGGTATTTCAATAAAGTATTCTTGTAGTATGAACACTTTAGCTATTAAATGATGGAGAATTATAACATTCTCATCAACCTATGAAAATCTTTCAGTATAACTTCCTATTTAGAAATTTAATAGAATTCTTAATTTTGCCAAAATGTCCTACTTACCTTGTAATTCATCTATTAATTATTTTTTTGAGTTCATTTTTTCAGATTATCTTCCACTGTAAGTGTAAGCTTATTGGACTTCCAAAAGAAACCCAAATGGAATGCATGCTTGAGTATTTGTCTCCTAATGCTGCCTCCTAAAAATTCTTTGAAACCCAAAAGTTTGCAGTCCAAACTTAATTTGTATCCACACTTGTCCAAATAAGTTCATTGTGTCCTAAGCAGAAATGGAATTTAAATATTAGAACTACTTCTTTAGACTTTTGTTCCTATAACCAGAAAAAAGTTAATTTATATGAGCAGTATTATTTTATTTGTAATATATTAAGAAAGAGGGAAATATAAGTCCAATATGCAGAAGATCTACTTTGTGATCATTTCATTCCTGGAAAGTCAAATTAGAAGTGAAACGGCCAAGAAATAAGAATATATCAGTGTTTTCTATATAGAAAACTTTCTAAATTCACAATATTATAAGGCTTTCAAGTTTCCTCAATGAAATATATTAACATCTTCAAAATGTCTTATTCTGGGATAGAAGTGTACAACACACCCAAGATTAGTGGCCTGCATAATAATGGTACTGTAGAGAGGATTTGTAGGGAATGGGACAGTTTTTGTAGATGAATATATGTGTATTTAAAGTACCTGGCAATAAGAGATTTTAATAAAAAGTGATATATTACAATCTTACATTTTTTCATGCAAAATAGATAATACAATTCTCATAAAGACCCAAATTATAGTGAAGAGCTATTAACCTCTAGTAATTTATTAAGTTAAATGAAAAGTGGTCTCAGTTTATTCATTCCACATTCAGAACTATTTTGAACACATGCCAGCTTTTATCAGTGTCATTTGTTTTATCTTTAAATACATCAGCTAGAGAAGGCGAGTGTCCGCCATCTAGTGGACTTGAAGAAGAGCCAAAACACAGCTCTGAACCCCAATGTTAAGGTTATATTTATAAAGTAAGAATGTACATCTTTCTTTTTTGTTTAGCCCCTCTCCTCCAAATATTCATTAAACTACTCTGCCCTGGTCAGACCCCATTTAGAGCCCTGTGTTAATTTCTGGATGCAATAACAGAAATTAACAGACAAAAATAAAATTCTGGGTACCACAGTTCAAAAAGGACATTGAAATAGGAGAAAGTTTAAAGGACAACTCCCAAATTAGTAAAGGATCTGAAAACCAAGTCCTGGAGGAATTGTTAAAGGATCTGCATCTGTTAAGCCTACATAAAGGATGACTATAGCAGTCTTCAAATATCTGAAGGGTTGACACACACCAAGAGAGAGTGGACTTTCTTATTGTCCTAGAATCAGAATGAGGATTGAGCTAGACATTGATAGAAACAACTAGAGAGAATACGTGGGTTGTCAGCCAGTGAAACAGATTGCTGAATGCTGTGGTGAGGCTTCCTTTGTTAGGGGTCTCAAACAGAACCTGAATAGTTATCTTTCAGAGATGGTCTATGAAATCTTGCACTGAGCATGGGCTTGGAGTAGATTACTTTTGTGGCCTGTTCCAGCTGTAGGATTCTATGAAACAGGCAACATTTGCATGACAACCTTTTTATCCAGGATAAGTCACTTCTCCCTAGCCTAGATAAGAAGGCTTTCCCCCCCACTTGCTACAAAACTCTTTTGTACTTTAAAGGCATTTCTAATCAATAATTCAAGCTGAGTCAGTGTCACCTCTGGCTAGCATTCATACATATATAGATTTTTAAAGATTTTACTAATTTCTCACTTTTGGTCTGTTGCATTATAACACCCCATCACATGCTAGGCATTTCTGTTAGTGCAGACTAGTAAA